GATTTACTCCCAGCTCGTGTCCGTTTAAATGGTCCACAGCTGGTTTCGGGGAGACCTCAGTCAGTCTGCCCACGGCTGAGATGACGAGGGACCCTGAGCACACACTGCACATTCGAGTGAGCCTTGTGGTGAGTGGGGGCGTCCTACATTATCATGAAGGACACGCAGGAGACCCGAGAAGTGAAAGCAGGCTGACGCTGAGAGGGGCTGAGGCGGGGACGAAGGGAGGAGGTGGCAGGCACGGGGCGGGGAGGGGGCCGCTGCTGGCACCAGGAGATGTCAGAGACACGCCCTTGGGGCAACGCGTCCCCCCTCCCCCCACTCAGACTGTCCCTGCACATCCCAGACTGGAGCTGAAGTGTGTCTGGAAGTGGCCGGTGCATGACATGAGAAAGGAAGACACCCGTCAGGGGACAGCCTGAGCCTGGACAGTCATTCTAGGCTGTGTCGTCACCGCCCAGTGCCTGTCGGGCTGCGGAGCACAGCGGCCTGGTTGTCCTTCCCCGAAGGCCAGAATCCTGGGCCAGAGTCTGCCCGTCGGCGCCTCCACCATGGGCTCCGGGCTCCTCTGCTGCGTGGCCCTCTGCCTCCTGGGAGCAGGTGAGTGAGGCGTCCAGGTGGCACGATGCCCTCTGGGTCTCTAAGCCTGGTCCCCTCACCTCCAGCAACAGGTGCCTCCTGGGACTTGTCTGAATCCTGCTCCTTTCCTTTCCAGGCCCCTTGGACGCAGCAGTTTTCCAGACTCCAAAGTACCTCGTCGCACAGGTGGGAAATGCGAAGTCCCTAAGATGTGAACAGAAGCTGAGCCGTGATGCTATGCACTGGTATAAGCAGGACGCCCAGCACGGACTGCAGGCCACGTTCACCTACAGTAATAAGAAACTCATTGTAAACGAGACAGTTCCAAGTCGTTTCTCCCCCAAATCTCTGGACAAAGCTCATTTGAATCTTCATGTGGACTCCTTGGAGCCAGGCGACTCTGCTGTGTACTCTGTGCCAGCAGCCGTGACACAGCCCTGCAAAGTCACCGCCTCCCTGTGCACAAACCCCTTGCCGAGCCAGGAAGCTGTGGGGACAGCAGAGGTCACGCCCCTGTGAGACCCCCCGCCTGGAATGTCACTCTGTAGGACAGGGCGCAGCATACCCAGCGGACAGGTCTACATGCTGTGCACCCAAAGTCCTACAAAATTCTACTTATCAGCTAAAGCTGGGGCTTCCAGTAAGTTCATCAGTGGATTGGATCTCCACAGACAAAAGGACCCTTCCCCATGCACTGAAGATCGTACCCAGTGAAGAAGCCGTTCCTCGCCTTTCTCTGCTGTACAGACTGGTGCATATTGGACATAACGATATTATTCAAAATGCACTATTCGCTAAAAATGTTTGATGAGCAAAAGCAGGGGAGAAGGTAAAATTTCTAAGCCCCAGTGGAGACTGGGATGGTCCGTGAGTTCCCTGTTTAATAGGTGTTCGGAGAAGCCTGAACGTTCACGGCCATAGGTAAACAGAGACCGGGCTGGGGGTGGGGGTGGGGGGAGCAGCAGTCGAGGCAGCGTGTGCGCTGCAGACTGCGGGGTTTGCCTGGCTTTGTTCCCGCTTTGCCCCCCTCTCAGGCAGCCCCGGCAGGTGTCACTGTTACCAGCGCGTGGTGATTGGGGTTTAAATAAATATCATTACCAGCTTTTGACCTGAAGCATGGGTAACT